GTAGTGCTAGTATAAAATTCGCTTTGCCATCTAATTTACTAATCACTTGTCTTAGTGTTGTTGTAGAAAATTTTAAATAGGTTATTAACCTCCCCTCTAGCCATTAGGACCTTTCAAACAAGTAAGATCTAAACAATTTTAAATATAGCATCAACATATATATAACATTTTTAGAAGAAAACATGAACTAGTTTCATATTTTTTAATTTAAACTAAATTAATTATGAACTTTTAAAGATCAAACTGGATTTTTATTATTATTAGAAAATAGAAAAATGTTTTGAAACCGGCCGAGGACCAAATTTGTCCAGTTTTAATAGTTGGAGGTTGTCTGTTACCCGGTTTCATAGTTGAAGGTTAAAAATCGAACTTCAATACGAGTTGTAGGTTGAAAAATGTACTTTACCCTAATTAGATTAGAGCAAAGTTAAAATTCACTTGGGTGATTTAAGGTTCAATAATGCTCTCCTCAGGGCGTCCGGATGGACGGACGTAGATTCCCCACTCTCGTTCGCACCGGTCGTGCCCCTTCCGTCCAATATGCCTGCTCCCCCGATGCTCCCCTCATGGTTTCTCCATCTAAAAAAACAAGATGTTGATTTCCCATTCTAGTGCTGCTGCTCGTGCTCTCCCTGGCCTAGCTCTCCTCCTTGCTCCTGCTCCTCTCCCTCCTCCGCCTCGGCTACGTGACACCACCACCGCCTCTAGCTCTCGCCATCCCTTCTTCCTCGCCATCGACAGAGGAGAAGCAGCATCAATAGTAGGCTACTGAGGTCGCATGCCTGCCGCCTCCCCTTCTCCAGCACACGGCGGGGGCGCCTTGCCGTGGGACCGCGCCCGCCCATCCTGTCGTCGGGAGCGGGCAGCCGCTCGTTGGGGTCACGCAGCCGCTCTTCGGGGCTACGCCCAGCCGCCCGCCCACTGGCATCCCCCTGCGTGATTTCGTGGTATCATTCTCCGAGCCGGCGTCGAGCTCCGCGTCGATGAGCCTCTATTCGTCCAAGCAACAAGTAGATGTTGCGCTTGAAAGTGCATGTTGCAAGTGTATGTTTTAAGTGTTTCAAATATTTCAAAGGTATGTTGCAAGTGTTTCATGTGGAGTTGCAAAACTAGATCGAGATGTTGCATATGTTGCAATGGTTGTACACATATGTTGCAAGCGTATGTACTAAATGTTTCATCTCTTTTTTTATTCGTATGTTTGCAGGTGTGTTTATCTGGATGTTGCATGTGTTTCACACATATGTTGTTGCATATGTTTTATCTGGATGTTGTATATATTTTGTAATGGATTTTTCAAGCATTTTTCAGGTGTTTTTACAAGTGTTACGTATGTTGCAAGTGTTTCAACTGTTTTGAATGTAAGTTACAAATGTTTTATTTGGATGTTTAAAAAGTAGATCGGGTGTTGTATCTCCCTCCTCGTCTTCTGCTGCCTCACCTCGGTGTCTTCTCTTCTCGATGTTGGTGATGTTAAGGCGGCATGAGTGGGGCGAGTCGTTCGAGCGACACAGAATTCGGCGGGCATGGCGTGCAGCACGGAGCAGGCGTAGGGAGCTGCGTCTGGACATGGGCCTAGGGCCGGACATCCGGGCGTTAGCCTGACCATTTAAGGTTTCCTCTTATGGATGTCACTTATCTTTTTCCCCAGCTGCGGCAAGGCTAGGCTTACGATTTAAGGTTGGCAATTGCTCGGGGACACCACACAAATGTGAAATTTGCCATTGAACACCGGCAACTCGGCAATTGGTCCAGTACCATTATGAAAATAATGGTTATTTACCACAAGATACCGCAGCCGTTAACATATCCATTTTCGTGGTTTAGAAGAGAGAAAGGAGCATGAATAGACAATATTGCCCCTTAGTCGTCTTCCACCTCTTGACTCCACCCTTCTCTCCCTCCGTTGCGGCCCGCACTCAGATGAGAGGAGGAACACCGCCATCTGGGATAGGCAGAGGCAGAGGAAGAGGAAGAGGAGGAGGTGTTTCAAGGCTTTCTGCTTTGTTTGATTCTTGAACATGACCATTTGTTTGGATACATAATGACTAGTCACCTGGACATGTCATCTTGGCAATTAGTGCCATTATTTTGGTCATGAGATGTGATCTGGACATGCTATATTGGCATATATATATAGTGTCGTTATTTTGGTCTTGAGATGTGATTTGAACATGTCATATTGGCATATAGTGCCGTTATTTTGGTCTAATGTGATCTGGGTATGTAAACCATTCTAGATGTGATTTGGTCATGTGAACCATTCTATGTATATGATGCTTAAATATGACTTCGACCTCTAATCTATTGCGCCTTGGATGATCCACATCTTCGGGTCAGGCGCTGATGAGCTTACAGAAGCTATTCGGCTGATGGTTTTTACGACTGATAAGTTGACTGATGCTGTTTCGTTGTTAGAGAAAAACACTATTCCATGGCTGATAAACCGGGGCTGATAAGTTGAAGTGAACAGGGTAATGATGCTTGCAAAATGTGCTTCAAATCAGTGCAAAATAGATTATGTCATTTTGTCATTTCAAAATGTATCTTCCCATTAATCATGTCCAAATATGTATAAGACTACCGGATTGTAGTGTCATTCATACCCAGGGAAAATATGTCTTACACTCATACACACACCGTTAGTCTCAGTTAACAGAATGGAGGTAGTGCAAACATTCAAATTTAAAAAATGGGGGCAAACATGCAAAGTCCGAAAAAGAGAGACAGATGAGTAGTTAGAGGTCAAAATGAGGGCAGAAATGCAATTGGCCCATGTAATTAACTTGTATATAACCAACTAAAATTTTCAAATATCGCAATAAGCATACGAGTTCAGGTTCAAGATGCCAGATGAAGATGCATGTTTAGATCTGATGTAATTCCGTGATCTAAATTCAAAAAAAAATGCTAAGAACTAGCCCAAATTTCTTATTCGAATTTATTTTCTACCGTCGCGTGCTAGCTGACCGTTTAGTAATTAGTAGTGAAGTTTTACCGGCAAATGTTGTGTGGATAGCGGGTGCAGCGGATGACGGACAGCAGCGCCTTCTTCCTCATGTCGACCTGCACCATCCATACCTTCCTTTCCTTGAAGCTTTCGAACTCGATCTCACCGACGCTGAAGCAGACGACGTCTGGGTTGTCCAAGCTCACGACAGGGCACGTTGGATGCAGCAGCGGAGGTCAATATAATGCTGACGAACTTCAACGCGCCGACGCCGCCGCCGCCATCGTCGCCAACGACGCCGCATATGTCCCGAGAATACTTGATCTCCGGGAGACTAATGTCCTCGTAGTCGTAGTAGCCCGTCCATGGAGGGGGCACCACGGGCAGCCGCACGTACCGGAAGCTGCTGGGGCGCTCCGGATCCGCCATGTCGCACAGGAAGACGAAGCCGCGGCTGTAGTCGACCCAGCACAGGAACCTGTCGCCGACGAGGACGACCTTATAGCCCATGTGATTGTGCCACGACCAAGACCACGCCCTCCGTTTGTCTCCTTCGCCGGCTCCGTCGCGCTCGTCGAGGACGATGTTTGCCGCCGGCTTGAGCTCCCACTCGCGCCTGCCGACGTGGAGCACGCACACCTCGGCCATGAACGTGCCCGTGTCCGCACTCGGCACCAACTCGAGCTGAGCCACACAAGGAGCTGTCCTCTCCGCGTCGCAGGAGCCCTGTGTTCTCCTGGAACAGCACGCGGTCGAAGGACGAACATTTGCCCTTTCCTGCCCAAGGAACATCGCAGGCAGGGAGCTGCGACAGCGATGGCGGCCTCGTGGTCGTGGTCGTGTCAGCGCCTGCTCTGTACACGAAGTAGTCTCCCGTGTAGGTAGCGTCCAAGAGTACGGAGTCTCCGTGGGCCGCCATGACTCGAAACTCCCGGGGATCGAGCTTGGTGCTCCCCTTCCAATCGTAGTAGAGGAAAGAGCTCTCCGGCGGCGACGCGAGGCTCAAGGAGACACGGAGCTGTCCGCCTCAGCCACCGCAAGCGGAGGTGCGGCAATCGGCCATGGTCTTGACGTCCGCGACGATGGATTCATCCCTGAGGCAGACGAGACAGTTCAGCATTGCCCAGCGTGGCGACGGCCGGCGCCGAGGCAGAGGCAGGCTCCACCTCCATGTCGCCGGAACCAGCAGCGAGATGACTGACGGATCGCACACCAACGAAAGTGGAGGGTCGGCATCTGAGAAGGCCCAAGGTTGACGCATTGGACCAACAACCATGACCAAGCCGCCTCAGCATCTTCACACAAGGCGAAGGTAACTAATGGAGGTCACCAATGGCGGCTGCGTTCTTATCTTAGCTCTTTTTCTTTTTGGAAAAAAAAATGAGCCCTAGCTCTGTTGAACGTCTCTCTTGGGCTGTAGCGCCGCAAGCCACGCACGCGTGAAGCCCATCTGAACAAATTGTTGAGATCTCGGCCCATCTAACTATCTTCCACAGTACAAATGATGCGTAAAGATGATCCCATCTCGATAGTCAATACAGGTCTATGGCAACAAGCAACCATAAAATATGAAGAATTGCCTAGACCATCCGCAAGAGATCAAAAAAAAAAAAAAGGTTTACTAGCCTAAGCTTGTTAAACACAACGTGCAGCAGAGCAGCTTCACTTTAACCTTCCATGTTCAGGTAACACATCGTCGACAGAACCAAGCTTAATAACCAGTAGAAGAGGGTTTCTTTACCAAGGAACTCAAAAGTCTGAACCGAATCGATTGAGTTTCACAATTTCACTGCATGAAACTTCAGTTAAACGTCTCGACTTTACACAACCCAGCAAGTGGGTCATCATCTCAGGGCACCTGGATGGATGGATCCACGGATATATATGTCTGCCGCAGCTTATACATATATATAGCAAATATATAAAGTTGGTCACTTCCTAGCAGCTACCTAGTTTCCAAAATCATCTCAGCAGCCACCAGCAACTTAAGGATAGTCAGCTACCTTCTACTACTTATATACACAGCACGCTTTCGTCATCATACTGTATGCTATGGATCTCCATCCGCGGGTTTCTCCTCCAGCAGCTTGGTGCTGCAGGGATGCCCTTTGCTGCGGTTCAGTATCGATTCTTTAATCTCCTTGTACTTGTTCAGCTCCTCCAGCGCGTCCGCCGCTGTCCTTGACCTCAGAAGAGCGGAAGGCACCCCTGCAGAGCTTGATGCCCTGCTGCCATGTTCCTCGGTCACTACCCTCTGGAGTGAAGAAGGTTCTTGAGGAACTGGAGAACTAGGGCCTGGCAGTAGTAGCCTTTCCCTGAGGCCAGGGGCATTCTGTAGGATGCGCATAAGAATACCAATTGCTGCATCTGGAGACCTGGTTAATGAGCCTCCTACTTCCTGAGACGGTCCTTGGTCCTCCCTGTCAGATATGTCAATCCTGGAAAATAGATGAAGATCTACATTAGCTTATGAGAAACAAAGAAGTGAATGCAAATTAACAAACACCAAAAAAGCAAAATGCTAAGAAGAGGATGCAAAACTATTAGAAATGTTTGACTGATCCCACTGTGAACTCACCCAAGAATATAATGGCAAGTCCGCACAGTCACTATATCTATCTTTGTTAAGGGATAAACTTGATAGTACAAGACTAAACCTGGTAATGGTCTAGAAACCACACCGGAACCGCCAAACTCTTTCATGACTATATCTCAGCCCACCCCACTCCATCCCATCTTTATTTTCTCCAAATCTAAACTGAACCAGACCACAAGCATTATTGAGATCGAACCAGTCCAAACCATTTCTTAAAACCAAGGTTCAAAACCATAGCTAGACATTTATCTCAGATCAGTTCCAACTGAAACGTTTGCTGATCTATTTGTTCCTACAGAGATAGGCCCGCCACGTGCCTTAACTTTCTTCTGTATCACACCCTTCCCCTGGTTCTTCAATCTTCATTTCTTCTCTCTCTGTTTCTCTGGTACTTGACACTAGGAGCTAGAGCTAGCAGCGCCGAAGAGCTTAGCACCGGCAAGCTTGGCGCCGGCGAGCTCCGCATCGGCAAGCATGGTGGGTAGGTCAAGGCTGGTCCCCTCAAGGTCCTTCGAATACATGCAGAGGAGTATGACCATGTCTACAGCCATGCCAGCAAGCATGGCGGACACGATGCCAATGAGGAACTTGGGGGGAAAAGGGTCTTGCTGTTGAAGGCGATGACCACGTTCTACTGGTTGCTGTCTTGCTGATGGGCGTGGCGCGGGAAGCGAGTGCCAAGGAAGAGCATGGCGGGCAAGTTGCGGTCGGTGGCGAGCTCCAGCACGAACTGCATGAGAATGATGCAGCAGGTGTCGTTGAGGAAGAATGTGCTGCTGAGCGCTCTGGATTTGAACCCTTGAACCATCTAGAACAAACCCATTACAAATACTGCTCCAGACCGAACCAGTCCATTAGACTTTCAACCTATTTTCAACCAAACTATACAAACCCAAATAGGAAACCAAACCAGTAAACCCGGTTTTAACCCAAACCGTTACCAGGTTTAAACAAGACTGACCCCTAAGCCCCTTATATTTGTCTTTATTAGATTAACATGAGACTCTAATTATGTCCATAATTTCAGACCTCAGTATGACAGGTTTAACCTGTGATAGTAGAATAAGTTGTACCTTCTACAACCCTATTGCTTAACTAAACATCTTAATTGCTGCTACTAGTAGTTAATGTATAGTAATATATAAGAAACAGTAAGGGCTGTTTATCTTACAAACGCTAACTTTAAAATTAGCCCACTGCCCGCAATTTGGACCACAAATTTACATTCATAGTCACAGACCAATTATTAGAATATTAGGAAAGCTGCACAGTGACCACTACGTGGCTGTGGTAGAAATGATATCTAGCCCCTGTATTGTGTAGTTCGAAAAAAAAAACAGGGATACTAAGATTTTCAACCGTAATTTCTAATTTGTAAATAACGCAGAGGCAGTAGACTTCAGTCTGGAGCATGCAAATGACATGGGTACTAAAGGTCTAAAACTTCTGTCTGTAGTTTGTAAATGACACAGGGGCACTAAGACTTGAGTCTGTAGTTTGTAAATGGCACAAGCGTACTAAGACTTCTGTGTAGCTTGTACTTTGTATAAATACCATACGGCTACACAAGCAGTACAAGAGTTTTTAGCCAATATTTGGTTTCATCCACAAATTCCCATATTACTTGCTCTACGAAACATTGTTATAGAAGGCGGCCAACACCCAGCTAACCTGCTTAGGCACCACCCTCAAGCATAATACCCCACTTTCCTTGTAGCCAATGTAAGTGCCCACTTAGCAGCAACTAGGTGTGCCCTGTCACCTACCACTGGTATTGAATATTTAGATTTTTGTGGATTTAAGTAAGGGTATGCATAATATTTCTACTAAGAGAGCATGTCTAGCTGTTGGATGGTAAATCCTAGTGGCTAGTGAACATCACTAATTTCTTCCTAAAACTGCCTTGTTCTCCACTGGTGCATAGGCAATACCAAATTTAAGCAAAGAAAAGCCAGATTCAAGCCAAGCTGAAACAGAGATCAGCAGGATATATTGGGCAGGCTTAATGTATAACCAGACTTGTTTTACTGGGAGTCTGGGACTGGGTTCTCCATTTCCAGGGCTTGCTCTATACCTGAACCTCATAATGCCTAACCCATATACACTTTTGTGTTCAGAACCAAGCTAAGGACACCCCAAAAGTACATTGGTTTTTTCCAAAAGCTATACAAGCTACCAACAAATGCTTTTGTCTATCTGCCCTCCTGGATGTCTAAGGGGTTCAGGCGTTCAGCTCCTCCCATGTTCCATGTAATGTTGTTCACATGCCACCCAAGCCTCTCCAGTCTCCATGGTTTTAGAAATATGTTTCTCAATACATTAAAAGAATATATGGCATATTCCATGCCTCTGTTTGCAAGGTCACACTTAATCTAAATGATGAAAAGTACTGCCGGAAAAATTCAATGCAACACATAGTAAGCCCCAAAAGTCAACAGAGACAACTGAGCAAGCAAAAAAACTATGGAATCACAGAAAGTAATATAATAAGGGGAGAAAAGGTGATGTCATTACATCTCCAGTAGGTGCTTCATTTGAAGAACTGAACAACAGCACTCTTTATTTATCTACTAGAGGATGGTTTCATTTGAAATAAGGGTAAAACCCAATCATCAAATGTCTAGTGATATAGACATGTCTGAACTATAAATGTTGCAGGCAACCAACAAGCATATCTTGATAATAGAGAGAATAATTGGTTCTCCAAAGTAAATCACTCCAACAGAAAACCATGATTAGAAAATGAAATGCTTATAAACAGAATCAATAGTTAAATCTAACATAATGTATAGTATGATGCACAGAACTATTCTGACTCATATAATAAATATAGATGCACCTAATAGGCTAATACACATGTTGCTTCTAACAGCTAAACTAGTTCTGCAAATAGACAATGGTGACCTTTTAGTTGGAAACCACTTATAGAAAGGGAAAATTTGATAACTGGACCAAATACAAAAGCAAAAGCAAGTTGGATCTGAATGAGCACTGAAATTACTCTACAATATAGGCAAAAAGCTATAGAATCTCAATCAAACGACCTGAACTAATTAAGATGTTTCTTGTCATCCCAATGAATGTCCTGTTTTGAATTTATCATCTCAAGAAACTAAAACATAAAAAAATGCCATTGCTCTATATCTGCTAGATGAAAATAATCCAGTTTTGCCTATAGAAATGTGAAATCCTATAACATGTTGTATAAATATGAAGACTTCTGCTAACATTATTGCTTCAAAGGACTTCTGAAAGCAAAGATGGTTCATGACAAAATTACTTAAGCTATGTACATCAGTGGCCACCTGGTGAATGTAATAACCAATGCCATGGCATTCCCAGAGTAAAAGTAGTGTTATAACCTACTAAGCAAAAATATAGGTGTTCAAACTTTATCGGACACCTAGGTCATTTATTTACACAGAAAAAGCACATGCATTCACGAGCATATGCATATAAAGGGGATCAAACATAAACCAAATGCAATACAACAGCAGAACAGCGATTGAAGTGATGGATAGGTACTATGTTAGTCTTTTCGACCAAGGCATCATGGCATAATGTCATGAACTATACATATTTTCATCCAGTGAGTCAGAAAGAGAACCTTCTAAGCTGATCAATGATGGTGTCTTTATCTTCCCATGCAAAAACTAACTCCCGTTCATCCAGTTCATCCATGATGAAAAGTTTACTGGAGGTACGAGTCAACTTTAGTCCACGAAAATACATCAAATCATCATTACCAAAAGATAAAACCTGCAGCAAGAAGCAGAACCAGAAATTCATAAGTCAGAAATGAGATCCAACCATCCAATAGAAGAACCTCATAATAAAAGAAAGAATAGTATTCCTCAAGATTCACATTTTGCTGGAGAAGATCAACAAAAAAAAACAAGCAATTACCTTTTGCAAAGACTTCTCATTCTGAAACTCACTAAGCTTGACCAAATCCTTTGATAGTATTGATTTATCATTGGGAGAATGTGTCAGATTCTCATTTTGAGATGAGCATTGTTGCTTATCCTTCCTACGTGGAGAAGGAGGCAGCCTGCTACCACCTCCACCAGCCATCACTGTGGGAATACTTAAAGGAGCACTCTCATATCGGAAGAAAGGATTTCTTGGGTAGCTAGAAGGCGAATGGGATGGTGACGGCGACAGAGGTGGTGATGGATAACACTCTTCATTTACTGTATTTCTCTTCTTCCCAGATGATGATGTGTTATGTGGATTTGAGTATGCTGTCAGAGAATTATCGGTAGGCATGCGTGGCTGTAGGTGTCCATGGGGTTCTGAACTCATAGGAAATGGCGATGCCGATGGTCTAACTCCATGCTCGGTGCTACAACTGTGCCGCCTGGTCACTGGAAAACATGCAGGTGCAATGCCATCTGAAGGTAGGGAATCGAGCTTCCTAAGAAAATCTGTTGTGGGGCTTCCAACATAATCCTTTATAAGCTCAGGTGGCATCGGTGTGGATTGCTCTGGTACTGCAGCCAACTCCAGCACTGGCACATATGAAACAGACAAGCTTAAGGAACCAAACAGAGTTTCAATCGGAGCAAATGCATAGTGTTTCATCTCTGCATCCTCTCTTGCCGGGTGAATGGTTCAACAAATGATGAAATCTTGTGCGAGAGGCTCAACGGACAGATCCTTCCAGATGAATTGAGCCCCTGGAAGAGATGGTATGCTGGCAAGAGCCTGACAACCAGATATAGTGACCGGAATAACACTGTCGAGCCACTGTATGCCCTCCTGTACAAGCTATGATCCTGAGAAGAGCTGCTTCTAGCTTTCTTGCCACCATTCTTGATAACATTGCGAGACCTGGTAGTTTCATACTTTATTACCCACCTCTCAATGATCCTGCTGGCCCCGACACTGGCGGTTCTGGTATTGTCACGTTGCAGGAGGACAATGTCAATGACCAGAGGCTCAAGGTTGCTCTGTCTCCACAGGTCAAAATTCTCAAGTGCGGCAGGGCAGTCCCGGAGAGCAAGGTTGAACCACCGGTCACGTGGCTGGCTGCCAGCCAGCGGCGACGACGGCGGGGAGGGCCGTCGTGTGAAGTTCCGCGACGAATCGTACGGTGAGCGCGACTCCAGGATGATGTGGAGGCTCTTGGCGAAGAATTCAGTGATCACTTGCTCCACCATTGGCGGTTCCGACACACCGGCAGCCGCAGCAGCAGCCATGGTTGTGTGGCTGTCCAGACTTAAACTCAGGGGTTCAATTGAAGTCCCAAAACCTCTGAAAAACGAACTGCGCCAGCACCATGGCTAGATTGATCTTGCTCCGTGACGAAGAACCTAATCGGGCTGCCAGTGGACGGATGGACTGAATCAGTAGCACTCCAGACAGCAGGGGCGGACCCAATAAAGGACATGGGTGTACACATGTACACCCGACCAAAAAAAGAAACCGAATTTAAGTAGGCATAGTACATGTATACACTAGTGATTAGATCAGATCCGAAGACAAATAACCACATAGCTCAAGTTAGGGTTCGGTGTTCAATTTTGCACAGCAGAAAGGAAAGGGAAGAGAGGGAGGGGGGGCGAACCTGGTGCGATGGGTTCTAGTGGCCGGCAAAGGGCCCGACGAAGACCTGGGCAGCTTGGCGGCGGGCGGCGGCGGCCGCCCTAGTTATCGCGCTCGCGCACGCGAGGTGTACTGGAGAAGAGAAACAGCAAACAGGTGGGAACCCACGAGAGCAATTCTTTCCGGGGCTGTTCCTTGCTTCTCTGCCGCGCGCTACTGGGCCGATTTTTCCTTCTCTTTCTCTTTTTTCTGCAGGTGCACTCGCATGGCTACGCTCGTTCATCAGAGAAAGCGGCCCATGAAACTGGAGAGAGAACATTATTCTTTCTCCGTTTTTTTTTCCTTCTACCCTTGGTTCTTCTTTTTCTTAATTTTTTTCCTGTGTTTTGTTTTGCTTCCAACTTTTTCATTATTATAAATTGTCACTAATAATTATCTCTATTTTATCAAATCCACTAGTGAAGATTTTTCTCTTCTTCTATCATTAACCTATTGTAAATTGTTATTGGTCTTTTTAACTACATGTTCTGGTTTAACTCAAGGGTTAAATTGCTATTTCACATAAATGTAACACAAGCATTTTTGTACAAAATCTGTAGCATTTTTCTGGTGATGTTAGAACAATTTCCTCGTTATGTTGGAACAAATTTCTCCTCAACATCGAACATTTTGGTTATGAAGCTGAAAAGTTTTCTTATGAGGCTACAACATTTTCCTAGTGAAGCTAGAAGATTTTCTTCAAAGCCAGAACATGCTTCATACTTTTGCTCGTAAGAACATTTTGTTTTTAAGGTTGCAAATTTTTCCCGTGAGGGTAGCACATTTTTCTAATTTTATTTTTATCTCTTATTTTAAGGTACAAAAGTCCAAAAATATCATAGTTACTATAGAACTCATTAGGATATGGCTTTAAAATGACAACTATGAAAAACGATAAGATATGGCAAGCAAACACTAGAAATCTACCCCAATCCTTCAATAACTTTATTCTTTAAAATGCAAAACTTTCAACATGTTAGCAATTCATTTCAACAAAGTTTTCCTCAAATGAACTAGTGTCTGATGTTTCGTACTAGCAACTAATGAATTAAAGAGCCAGGTGTATGCTCAGGTAGCTTAGCACTCAGATGCAGGGTTTACAGTGGTCACAGCTCCGTTTCAAAAAAAATAGTGGTCACAGCTAAACAATGTTTTCCTAAACGGTAAACGGTCTTTACACGATCGCCCTTCGTTTAACGTTTAAGCTGTTTACACGGTGTTTAAACGAAGTTAAACGGTCTAAACGGTTTTGTACTTTTAAAAAAATACATAAAATTATATATGTGCATGTAAAAAATCAAGTATTCTAGCATTTATACATATTTATCCGAGTAAAAATAAATCATTTTGGTATGTATATATATTTATGCATGTGAAAAGAACCAAATATAGATATTTATGCATATAACATATCAAGTGTACACATTTATAAATATAATAAACTTACGTATACAAATTTATCCATACAAAACTGAACTAGATTTACCTCGTGTTCGCCTAAACAGCCGTTTAAACAGTTGTTTAGCCCGTTTAATGTTGTTTATCTCCGTTCCGTTTAAGCCGTTTAGACCGTTTTTCCCCTTTTTGATCGTTTAAACGGTCAACCGTTTAATTTCCGTTTACCCCCTAAACAAAACAGTTTACCACCGTTTACCGTTTACTGGCCGTTAGGCGAACACTGCAGCTAACGTGCCCTATGTACAGTTGGGATGTCTATTTGTGTTGCTGAGCACCAAGGGTTTAAAGTTTACGGTAAGGGTTTACAAACAGGTGGAAATGAGAGTACAAAACCTAAGCCAAGAGGTCAAAGGATTCGAGGAAGGTCGCCGAAGAATTTTCTCTTTCATATTTATGACTATGGGGGCCATGAAAGAACCGGAGAAAGCCATGTTCTTGTGGATTCGGTTTGCTATGCGTAAAAAAAGGCTACGACTTCCCCTATTTTGGTTTCGGAAGCTTATTCTGAAATAGACATTTGGCAGGGCTTTTTAATTAATCTGCTGAAGAAGCCCTGATGAAACAGGGTCAAATTCTTTAATCGTGGTTTTTTTAATAAAGGATAAAATATCCGGATAGAATCAGGTCAATTATTACAGACTCCAAACCTGGGCACAAAGTTCGGCTGAAGTAAAACTTACAACCACACACACGACTAACGGAACAGGTAAAAAGTTTTTGATTAAACAAAACCAACATGCCTTTGTGAAAGCCACCCATTGGATCCAAAAAAATCTAAAACCGACGTCTCTAGGTGTTGTGCCACAGAGATCATTTGATCTTTAAGATCTTCATGCCCCTGTAAGTTTGCCCAATGACGAAGCCAGTGCGTTCCTCGGAAAAGTACCTGCAAAAGAGATTTTGGTTTGCATTTGTCAAAAACCACCTCATTCCTTGTTATCCAGATTGCCCAAAGAAGTACGGAAGCTGCTGTTAATAACAATGTATTGTACTTTTTGTTTCCCAATTTAGACCAATGATAGAACAAAACATCTATATTTGTGGGAGGTGATATCCCAAAAAGTATATGTATAGAGCGCCACAAAAATTTGGCATAAAAGCAATCAAAAAAGAGATGGTGAATTGTCTCTGAAACATGGCAGAAACAACAATTTTTGTCTCCATTCCAATTTCTCCTAGCCAAGTTGTCTTTGGTTAGAATCACTCCTCTTTTTAGATACCACATGAAAACTTTTATTTTCATTGACAGCTTCGTTTGCCAAATATCTTGCGACACTCTCACCCCATTGTTAATTAATGTAGCATATATAGACTTAACTGTAAAAGCCTCAGAGGCATTTAAATCCTATACAAACACATCTCTTTCCTGTAGTAAGTTAATCTGTTGTAAAGAAGCTACAATTCGATGCCAATTTGTTAAGTTCGCACTCACCAAATGTCTCCGAAATGAGATATTTAGTACCAGGGAACTCAAGACTGTAGCTATAGTGTCTTGTTTTCTTCTTACAATATTAAACAACGCAGGAAATCTATCTTTGAGAGGTTTGTTGCCCAGCCAAATATCAACCCAAAATCTGATTTGTGTCCCATCTTTGACATTAAAATGTCCTAACTCCATGAAGTTATCTTTAATATTCATAAGGCTTTTTCAGAAATGCGAGTCCGTTGGTTTCTTTTCACAGCTTCCAAGAGTCTTATTTTTAATGTACTTATTTCTTAATAATTCTTGCCACAGCCCATCCTCATTTAATAACTTAAACAACCATTTACTGAGCAAACATTTATTTTGAATCTCTAAATTCTGTATCCCTAGACCTCCCTGGTCTTTAGGCTGACACATAACTTCCCACTTGACTAACTTGTATTTCCTTTTGTGCTGGTCATTTTGCCAGTAAAAGCGAGACCTAAAACAATCAATTTTTTCCACCACCCCTTTCAGCAATTCGAAAAATGACATCATGAACATCGGTAAACTGGATAGCACCGAGTTTATGAGTACCAAACGACCACCGACTGTAAGTAGTTTCCCTTTTCACCCACTAAGTCTTTTCTCGATTCTCTCTTCTATACACTTACAGTCTTTATTATATAGTTTCCTAAAATGCATAGGTAAACCTAGGTAGCGAAATGGGTATTTACCACTGGCACATTCAAACAGTTGTGAATAAAACTCTTCATGATCTTTAGCTTGTCCAAAACAAAAGACTTCGCTTTTGTGGAAATTTATCTTTAGGCCAGATAGTTGCTCAAAAGTACTTAGCAGTAGTTTCATATTAACTGCTTTTTCAACATCATGGCTCATGAAGATCACCGTGTCATCCGTATACTGAAGAATGGATAAGCCATCCTGAATTAGATGGGGAATAACCCCTTCTATCTGCCCTGCTTCCTTTGCTCTGGCAATTAGCATGGCCAACATATCAACCACTATGTTAAATAGTATGGGTGACATGGGGTCACCTTGCCTTAAACCTTTTTTGTCTGGAAGTAAGATCCGAGTTGGTCATTAACCTTAATATTTACATTGCCTCCTTGTGTAAAACTCTGCACCCATTCACACCACTTTTGTGAAAATCCCTCCATCCTTAATGTTTGCTGTAGAAAACTCCATTTTACTTTATCATAGGCTTTTTCGAAATCTATTTTAAAAATCACACCGTTTCATTTTTTTCGTGTGAAGTTCGTGAAGCGTTTCATGTAATATAACTGCGCCCTCCATAATATTTCTTCCTGGTAAAAAAGTCGTATGAGTCGGTCTTATTAGTTTGTGGGCAATCATAGATAATCTATTTGTCGTCACTTTTGTGAAGATTTTAAAAGAGACATTCAACAAACAGATAGGCCTGTATTGTTGAATAACTCTTGCATCCTTCTTTTTGGGCAGCAAGATTATGTTACTGAAATTAAGACGATTGAGAGGTAAGGTTCCCTGATAAAAATTAGAAAACAGAGCCATCAAATCGTCTTTAATTAAGCCCCAAAAAACTTGATAAAACTCCGGAGGAAAATCATCCGGTCCAGGCGCTTTATTATGTTCCATTTGGAAAATTGCCGCTCTGACTTCCTCATGAGTGAAGGGCTCGGTCAAGAACTCATTTTCTAGATCCGAAACTTGAGGTATGTCCTCCGTCTGAGATTCATCTAGTGAAATTAGAGA